ATGTGCACACCCCCATTCACAGCATCATTATTGGCCTATTGGCCGTAACCAAAAGGTGGAAACCCAAATGTCCATTGGCAGATGAATGGATGAACAAAATCTGCTATCATCCTATAATCAGATAACATTCAGCCCTAAAAATGAAGGAAATTTGGACACACGCCACAACATGGATGAATCTTGAGGGCCTTTTGCTAAATGAAATGAGCCACAAAAGGCCACATATTGCATGATCCCATTTCTGGAAGGTACAAATTCCTAGAGGAGGAGAGCGGAGTGTGGAGCTGACATCAGGGGCTGGGAGGGGCAGGGAATGGGGAGTTAGTGCTGAGGGCCATGCAATTTCAGTTCTCAAGATGAAAGAGACCCGGAGCTGGATGGTGGCTGGGCTGCACCACCCTAGGAATGGAGTGAACGCCACAGAACTGCACTTCAGCAGGTTTGCTCTGGACTATTTTATGTTGCATATCCTACCTTAATTAGGAGGAAAAAAAAGAGATGCTTCTTTGTGTAGTAGCTGATAAGGGAGGGGTGTACTTGTTCCTTTGTTCCTTTAAAAAATCTTTTTTTTTTTTTTTTAATTATCCAGCCCATGGAATGAGGAGAAGGAAGCGGGCGTAATGGCTGATCTGTGACCTTGGGCAAACAACCTCCTTTTGAGTTTGTTTCCTTCTCTGTCAAAATGGGGCAGATAGAAAAACCTTCACCTTCCAGAGATGCTGGAGGGGTGTCCTCTAAGTCACACACTGGAGTGCTTGGCTTCCAGTGGGCACTGCCTGGGGGTTAGTTCCCTCTCCACAGTTCTGTGGCAGAAACACATGCTCAAGGACACACTAAAGGAGTCTGTGTGGCCGGGCAATTGTCTAGCAGCATGCTGTGTGTTTTTAAACCGCCGTCCTATTATGTGCATGGAAGATCTAGAAGTCAAGAGTGTGGTACTGGGCCAGGCAAGAGTTTTTAAAATCCCAATTCTGGGATGTGCTGCCTAGAGGATCTTGGGCAAATGACCTGACATCTTTAAGCATTAGTTCAGTATTCTTCACTGCAAAATAATTGCACTACCATATACAGTTCCTGTAGGCCATATTTTTTAATCGTAGGAATTTTCAAAAGTTCACAAAAGAAGGAAAAATAAAATAATGAACCTGCAGCACCCATCACCAATCTTCAACAACTGGCAATAAATCAATAATTTTGTTTCATCTTTACCACTGCATCCCTCCCCTGCTGGTTATTTTACATTAAATCCCAAACCTAGAGACTATTTTAAAAAACATCACCATGATTTTGTTGTTGTGTTTCAATTTTTTTTTTTTTTGTACCAGGGAATGAACTGGAGGCACTCGACCACTGAGCCATATCCTAGCCTGTTTTTTTCCTTTGTTTTGTTTTGGGTACTGGGAATTGAACTCAGGGGTGCTTAATCACAGAGCCATATCCCCAGCCCTTTTAAAATATATTATTTGGAGAGAGGGTCTCTGAATTGCAAGTGCCTCGCTAAATTGCTGAGGCTGGCTTTGAACTCATGATCCTCCTTCCTCAGCCTCCCAAGTCACTGGAATTAAAGGCATGGGCCACCACGCCCATCCCCCAGCCCTGTTTTGTATTTTATTTAGAGATGGGGGTCTCACTGAGTTGCTTAGCGCCTCACCAGCCTCACCACTGTCGTTAAGGCTGGCTTTGAAATTGCGATCCTCCTGCTTCAGCCTCTGGAGCCCCTAAGATTATAGGCATGGGCCACCGTGCCTGGCTTGTTTTGATTTTGGGTGCTGGGTATAGACCTAAGCATGCTTTATCACTGAGTTACATCCTCAGTCCTTTTTATTTTTTTTATTTTGAAATGCCTGTGCTAAGTTTCTAAGGCTGGCCTTGAATTTTTGATCCTCTTGCTTCACCCTCCCGAGTCACTGGGGTTACAGGTGTGTGCCACCACACCTGGCATAAGACATTACCATGATTTATTTATTTATTTATTTATTTGGTGCTGGGGATTGAACCCAGGGCCTTGTGTATGCGAGGCAAGC